ATCACCACTTGTCTTCACAACAGGACATCTACAATGCAGGGTCGTGATGTAGGCGTATTCGGGTGCTCTGTACCCGTTTTTCGGGCAAGGCTGAGTGTCACTGCCTGTATTCTTGGTTTTTTTATCATGCGAAACCCAGTATATGCGACACCCGGATTATGCAACAGTTTTGTGTGGTCCCCTGATGGTCATATAATCGGGATCCACTGCAACACGCTTTCATGATGTAGGGCAAGCTGACATAGTCAAAAGAGGTCTTGCACTCTATTTTCATAACAGATAATGTGAAGATTGAAAAGGGGCATTTGCGTTAAAAAAATTTCTATGCACATGTTCCTGAAGCAGCCAAGGTTGGCAGCACAAAAGTTGCTGCAATCTACAAAATGAGGTTCCTTGCCTGCATTTGCAGCGCCAAGTTTGTTGGTGCCGATGTGCAGCATCTTGATCATTAATAAAGCTTATTCGTACTGGCATGCTCGTGCCCAGGGCTAACTTGTTAATAAATGAGCAGTATCTCCCAGCACCTCCTCCTAGACAAGATTATGAAATTGGCCGTGTTGGTAATACATAACTGATCATGTAGCGCAAAAAAATAGACACAGGACAGGAGAAGAGACGAAGGGGTGCGCTTACTTCTAAAAAAATTTATTTCGAAGAGCGTACATGTATATACTCTTGAAATGCAAAAAACAAATAAGGAAGTCAAGAACCCCACTATTACCATGCGCGAAAATCTTAACGTTCTCGGGAAGAGGAGGAATAAACCAGCAAGTTTAGGTGGCCGGGCCTAAGCCTCCCATGAGGGGACGTCAAGGGCTTGCCTCGACGCCGCCTCGAGAAAGACAATTCTTTTTGCGAAGCTGAAGAGAGGGAGTGCTGACGCAGTTCAGCGCTACTCTAGAAATCCTGTGTGCCTTCTTGATTTCTCTTGTTGTTTTATTTGTTTTTCCCAACAGTCATGGTGTCATGCTAAAGCGTTTTGCAGCCACATGTGCCGCTGCAATGCAATGCCAAAAAACCATCGCGACCATTCCTGACCTTACACGCGTGTTTACGGAGCCGCTCGTTGATACATCGGCCAGTTTGTCCTATGTACTGCTTGCCGCATGAAAGAAGTATCTGATAGACAACTTTTTTTGTGCATGTGACAGCGGGGATTTTGTGCCTTTTAGAACAACCTAGTTTTGCATTTGAAACATCTTTAGTACACAAGTAAAACATCATTAGTACACAAGTACGGCAGCTTTTTCAGAGCAGAAAAAGCTGGCCCACATCCCAGCCTCTTTCAAGTTGTGGGAGATTCCATGTAGATATGGCACTACAGCAATCTTCTGTAGCCTTACTGGTTTAAAATCAGAGGGCTTGTTTCGAGAATAGAAGTTTCTTGACCAAATTTTCTGCGACTGAAACCTGTATGTGAGAGGCGTAGCCAGCATTCAGAAGTCACTCTGCTTGCTCTTTAAAAGTAGCTGACATTAGGTGTAGACAAGACTTCTGTAAAGCGTTGCAACACACAGCTTTACAATGCCTCTTTTTACGAGTTTTGTGTCGGCAAAGTGGTACGGAAGCAGGGGTTTGTAGCTTCTTGGCTGGTATGTCAACCAAGTGTGGTCTTAGTGAAAAGTCAGGGCTATGTCTAAAAAAACCTGAGAGTGTTGTTAATTGCCAACTCGTGAGCTAAAATGAGGAGCTTGAACCTCTCCTTGATGAAGTTGAGGATAGTGTCTAGGGCGCATAACATGAGATATCAGTCGAGAAGAATGAGGAAGTCGTCAATAAATCTAAAAGCGTATGGTTCTGTTGTCACAAAGGTCACGAAGGTCACCTAAAACGGTTCTGTCAAGCTTGGCTAAAAACAAGTCACTTAGTTGTGTCTGCATGATTTTATGAATTTCTCAAATTCACCATTTGTCATACATATGAAGCTGAGCAGACTGGACAACAAGTACACACGTTCAGGGCTCTCCTGAATAATTTATACGCAATGATCTATTGCCTATTTTTGCGTCAGATGTGCCGTTCAGAAAGGAGATACTACATTGTTGCCGATACATTGGAGATACTTTTTGCAGAAAGGAGATACATTGTTTTTTTTTTGCCATATACACGCATTCAATACAGTCGAACCTCGTTATGACGAACTCCAGAAAATTTGAATAGTAGTTCGCTATAGCCCGAATTCGCTATACATAACTGCACCGAAAAATCGTCAAACCCTGGTGTGAATAGGTCAGCAGCATGACAGGAATCGACAAGACACTTACCTGAACAAAAATACATTTATTGAGGCGAAAAGAGCCTGTGCAACGTGGCCTGGTTTTTTTGGTTGATGGCGTGCCATATAATGCCTTGCTCAGCCATGTCGAGGCATTCCACAAACTTGAGCCTGGTGCCTTCCATCGTGCTGCAATAGCGCCGCGCCAGAGCCATTCCAGCCAAACCCTCGCTAGAAGTTGGCAGCGGAATGTTTTCGGAGACTGCGTCTTCAACTTCTGCGACTTCAATCCCAATTAGCTGGTGTGTCACCTCCACAGCGGTTTCCACGTCAGTCAGTTCGGCAATAGTCTCCGACGCGTCGTTGTCGCCAACGAAGTCGTCTAGTGTGAGCGTGTCCGATGCATCGCCCACGAAACGTGAAAAATCGCTCCACTTTTTGTCGAGCTCGACAACCTCTTCAGAGCCTTCAACATCTTCAATGGGCTCTTCAACTGCCTCAGTGCCAACTGTGATACCAGTGTGCTGAAAGCAGTTCACGATGGTCTTTTTCTTCACGCTCTCCCAAGCGGCCTTCAGCATCTTTATGGCACCCAACTAGTCAATTTTTAGGTCTTCGTTAATTCGAAGACGAATGAGCAGCCGCTCGATGAGCCTTTGCTTGTAAATCGCTTTGAAGGCACGGATGATCGCTTGGTCTTGAGGCTGGATCTTGGAGGTGGTGTTGGGCGGCAGAAACTTGAGCTCAATATTGCTCAGTGGAATATCTGCGGAGTGCACTGAGCAGTTGTCGATGGGCAGAAACACTTTCCTACCGTCATCCTCAAGCTGTGTATCCCGCTCCCTCAACCATCCTACTCCTTCAACTCTCGTGTCATCCATCACTTTCAATTGGAAGCATAAGTGGCTGGTAGGTTGCGGCAGCGTCTCCTATAGTTCGGCGTCTTGAACTTGCCGATCACAACTGGACGAAGTTTTGTCGAACCATCCATGTTCGCGGCAAGTAGGACCGTGATCCGGGCTCTGTTTTGCTTGCCACCATGACATTTCTGCCCGTGTGTGCTGCAGAGTTTGGCGCGGCAGCATCTGCCAGAAGAGGCCCGTTTCGTCCGCATTAAAAATATCTTTTGGTTGATATCTGGCACAAATTTGAGGCCACTCTTCTTTCAGCCACTTGTCCATTGCTGCGGCGTTTGCCGACTCGCTTTCGCTCATGACATCTTTTCTGACGGAGTCGTACCGGTTCTTAAATCGTTACAGCCACCCTGCACTGGCACTAAAATCTTTGTCATCGAGAATGAAAGCGAAGTCTCTTGCCTTTTGCTGCAGCATTGGCCCCTACACAGGAATGTTTGTAGCCCTTACGTCGACGAACCATTTATGTAAACATTCCTTGACGCGTTCGAAGGCAGCAGGTCGAATACGTGGTGCGTTGGCAGGCTTTCTGCCGTGTTGCTGAACAATTTCCTTTTTCTGCCTCAGCACCGTGCTTAATGTGCTGCGGGATATTTTGAGAGCTTCAGCAACAACTGACTTTTTTTCACCTCTTTCAACACGCCGAATAATTTCCAGTTTCATCGCATACGTCAAGACGGTCCGTTTCTTCCCCTTTTGCGCCTTGGTGACGATAGACAACACTGCTTAGCACCACAAAAACGTGCAAATGAAGAAAACACCACACGCACCCAAGAACAAAGCAACCGCTAGCCTGGAAAAGCGGCGTGTGAACAATGTGTCTACGTCGTCAATCGTCAAGGCTGCTAGATTTTACCAGTGCGTCGGGCGCATGAGATTTTAGTAAACGGCCGTATACTAACCTTAGAGAGTGAGCCTTGCCAATTTCGGAAGCCATAAAAAAAAAATATTGTCGTTTGCAGTCTACACCGCTGCACCACGAAAGGTGCTACATGCGTATGGGATGTAAATGCGGGTCCGCCTAACTGCTGCTGTGCTGTTGTTAAGCCGAACGCGCGCTCCTGAAGCGCTTGTATTCTGGTCTGGGAAATTCGGTATACCCATTGCACGCTCGAGTTCATTCGCTATAAAAATGCCAAAATACTATCTGTTGGTAGTTCGACGTAGCCAGTAATTCATTATATCCATGTTCAGTATATCAATGTTCGACTGTATAGAGCTGTGCTGTTGGGATAGTCTAAAGCCTCTTCATATTGTTTTGATTGCTGTTATCGTAAGCTGCCAGCTGCATACTTGTGAGGAGAAGCACAAGCCCATTTGTCAAGAGCCACATGTAATTTAACAGTGAAGCTGTTGAAGCTGGCAATAACATTTTCGTTAATGAAAACCCCTGCTGTACCGTTGCCTTAGCAACTACAAGAACTGCGTGTCATCTGTGCTAAAGATAGCCAAGCCGCATTCCCTGTGGAGCCATTGCCATAGCTATCTCCACGGTTTCTTTCACCGTGGCTCAGGGACAGCAATTTCAACATTCAGAGGGGCAAGGTTTTCACGGCAGCCGCTTCTTTGGCGAAGCATGCTGGATCGCATCGCCACTGTCGTTGTGACTCCTGTTCTGCAGCATGGCGAGCTGAAGATCAACCAGCTTTGCTGTGCGAAATTCCGTGAAGCTTAATGCAAAGTTACATAACCTTTTTTTTAAAATTTTGCTTTCTTTTTCTTCTTATCATTGAGATGCCTTCTTTCTGGGAAGGATGTTGCCTATTGCACTTGAAGTCCAACCTGACTCGCTATTTATTCCCACTACTATCGTATTAGTCTCTGTGGTTTGTTGTGTGTGCTGATTGTGCCTACCTGATGTCTTACCCCAGGTGGAGGCTCAAACCAATCTGCTTTTGTCGGTGTCGTCGGCATGTGATCCGACGCTCAACAAGAAGCTCAAGAGGAAAATCAACTTTCTCTGGAAACAGGTGACTTCACAACATTTTACGCTGAATATAAGAGGCACATTGCACACTTTAATCTTCCCCACAGCTTCATGTAACAGTGTTCTGCTACAAGGGGCTTCTTATGAGAGGATTGTGTGAATATTTGAAGTGGATGGTAGGCGAATAGTGATTTGGTCGAAATAATTTCAAATCAAATTCAAATACAGTGCAGTCCACTTATAACGATACCACATATAATGATATATTGGTTATTACAATGGGTTGACTTAACCGTCTCATTTTTTGTATTCGGGCTATGGGGAAAAATACCATATATAACGATATGTTATTCATCGCATATCGAATACAACGATGAAAGTTTTGTCGTTTGGACGGCTAGTTCTAGAATAATCTTAACGTTCACATTGATCAGTACCACTGAAATGAACGCGAGAAGACGAAAAGTTACCGTAGGGGAGTTCGTATTTACTGCCATTGCAGCGCAGCACCGGCAGCGCGTCCTGCCCGTTTCGAAAGCCGGAGAGAACATCGCGAGTTGCCGCGGCACGCTGAGTGCGATGCCGAGTGCTGAGAGAGACTTCAGAAAAAAAGAGTAAAAAGCAAAGCCGCGCCACGACTTGCGGTCTATGTTGGATACCCGCAACCAACACCGTGCTCGCGACAAAGAAAAGACAGAGAGCAAAAAAAAAGTGAGAAACAAAGCTTTTCACTTTTTTGAGACTGGTTCAGTCCGACTGGACTGAAGCAGCCTCTCCTTCCCAGCGATCGCATCGCGCAAGCAGCATGGGCAGAGCTAAGCTCCTTCTAAGATGGTGCCGATGAAGCATAAGGCCGTGTCGCTTGACACAAGGTCCAAAATTTTACAAGACTCTTGACAAGGATTCAAGGTGAGTGCCCCTGTGAAAAAATATGAGCTCGCGCAGTCGACGATATCGACAATCCTCAAAGCCGGCAGCACTGCAGTTTTGAAAGCTGGGTACAGCCGCTAAGACAACGAGCGGAAGAAGGTACGAGAGCCTTTGTATGTGGACGTGGAAGAGGCCCTCTACCAGTGGTTTCTGACGATCCGTTAACAGAATGTGCTGATCAGTGGTGTTATACTTGCCACAAAGTAAAAAAAAAATCACGCTTTTCTGCTTCGTCGGCCAGATTTCGATTCCGGAGGGGGAAAGACACAAAGGTTCGAAGAACGGCGTGGAAGTGTTCACTAAAAACATGGTGGAGGAAGTGGCTTCTGTGGACTCCCAAGCGAAGCAGCATTGGCTGCAGACCAATCTGCCCGCACTTATAGAGCTCTTCTCGGTCAAAGATATTTCTAATTGTGACGAGACTGTCCTTTTTTTTTTGAAATGATTCTATCAAAGACGCATGCTCTGAGAGGCGATCCGTGTCCTGGCAGGAAGCACTCCAAAGTTAGAGTGACCGTATTGTTCTGCGTGAACATGGATGACCGTCATCGAATGAAGCCCTTCGTGATTGGGCAATCCAAGAAGCCAGTCTGCTTCAAAAATCAGCACATTCCGGTACGCTACTGCAGCAATAAGAAGGCCTGGATGACCCCCGTCTTGTTCAAGGAGTGGCTGCTCGAGATGAATGGTGTCATTGAAAGCAGGGGCATAAGGTGGTGTTGCTGCTGGATAACTGCAGCGCGCATATCGCGAGCCCGAAGCTGACATCAATAGAATTGATGTTCCTGCCGCCAATACAACGCCAGGCTTGCAACCGCTAGACGCTGGTGTGATAGTGAATTTTGAAGCGCTGTACCGGTGGAGCATGCTTGAGTGGCTGGTCCTAGCATTTGACAGCTCGGCTACCGGTACGTCAGGCAATGCAGATGAACCCCCTCACTTGAAGATCAGCCTTCTAACGACCGTGCGCTTTGTTTACGGCACGTAGTACGAGGTGAAGCAGACCACCATACAATACTGCTTCAGAAAAACAGGCATTGTGCGCCAGGACCAGCCTCCCCCGCCTAATGACAGCGAGACCTGCATGGAATACCACGGATCTTGATGAAGTCTGGGAGCACATCGCTACTAGTGGCATAGATAGAATACCGCGGATCTTGATGAAGTCTGGGAGCACATCGCTACTGGTGGCATAGATAGCGAGTGTGTAGTGTCGGTTGAGGACTTTCTCACAGCAGACAGTGCTGCCTCGTGCTGCGAGGAACTCACCGACGATGCAGTTGTCGTGGATGTGATGTTGCGACAGACGTCGGCGTTTTGTGACGGCAGCAGTGACAGTAGTGACGACTAGTTCAACAGTCACAGCGCTTCTCCGGCCCCGTCAATGACCATGCAAAGTGCACTGGTGTTTATCGACGCGCTAGTAGACTTCATGCGTGTCCGAGGACTGCTGCCAGAGTATTCGCAACAGTTTGAAGCTATGTGAACCGCACTTGTGAAGCTGAAGCTTCCGCAGAAGCAACTGTGAATATCTCACTACTTCATCCTGCCAAAGCCATAAACGCTCTTCGAAGTATCAAGTTTTTCCTTTTTTTTTTTTGAAAGGCTTTAATCTACATCATCACTGGTGGAAAAAGCACATTCGAGCCTGGAGCTACGAAAGGTACGTTGATTGATTGATTGATGTGTAGGGTTTAACGTCCCAAAACCACCATATGATTGAGAGACGCCGTAGTGGAGGGCTCCGGAAATTTCGACCACCTGGGGTTCTTTAACGTGCACCCAAATCTGAGTACACAAGTCTACAACATTTCCGCCTCCATCGGAAATGCAGCCGCCACAGCCAGGATTTGATCCCGCGACCTGCGGGTCAGCAGCCGAGTACCTTAGCCACTAGACCACCGTGGCGGGGCTACGAAAGGTACGTTTGGTGACGATTTTTTATGACAGCCGAGATATAACGATCATCGGTTATAACGATCGTATTTCCAGGTTTCCTCAATATAGTTATAAGTGGACTGCACTGCAGTACATGGATTGCACATTATTAAGAAGAAAAATTGGCATATTTTTCATAACCCAGCGAACCTGCACAATATCTTTTAAAAGCTTAAACAAGGCCTGTGCGAATGCTATTCTTTTTGGTTCAAAGGATGTGAAATCTCTGAATAGTAGCAGGATTAGACTTTCAGTTTCGGTAATTTCTAAAATATGCAATTTTAGATTCAACGCAGCTTAGTGTCGAGCTCAATCCGGTGTGCGACGTGACCACCCTTACTCCACATGTGCGTCGGCTCCCCCTGTATAGCCTCAGAACGCTGACACAGGGAGCATCTACTTATCTACGCTCGCTCTCCCCTCTCACGTCTCTAGGCATTGCGCCCAGCAGTGTTTGCACCCCCATTGCACTTGTGTGTCCTCTTCCCCTCTCTCCTCTCCTACGCTCTCCCTCTCGCCTCGCAGAGCTGACGCAGGCAGCGGGTGCTAGTGAGTCTCTTGATTGAAAAAAACCGACTGCTCGCGCTGCACCATCATTTACTGGCCACGCCGTATATATAGGCACTGGATCTTGACCTCCAAGGAAGTGCTGGTGGGAGATTTATTCCGTGCATTGTTGAACAACAAAAACTTGCAGCGTGTGCGTTAACGAAAAGCAGACTGCGGGTCTTAGTGTCCGATTGGAGTTGTCAGTCTCTCACTGCCAATTAGCAGCGATTGGCATGTTCCAGTAGGAAACACCAGTCTATCACCCCAGGTTTCTTTTTTCCGCAATGCCGCGATGAGCGCCAGCATCATTGCCGCCACCAGTGTAAGCGTGCACGCCCGCTTCTTTGCATCTAAACATGCTTCCCTTTAGCGGGAGATGGTGTAATTTTGAACGTTACTATACACAGAGCTTATAAACTGGTATAATAAATTTGCAGACTCTTTAAAAAAGGTATGAATCGATGCGCAAGTATGTGGTCATATAACTTTGAAGTGAGACTTCGTGACAGGGCTGATTTCTCCTGGATAGGAGTTTTCACGGCTTGACACCCCTTCTGTCCAGTAAGACCACCTTTGCAGGAGGCTACGTGTGAACTAACCTACACTTATACACTTATTTGTTTGTTTCGAATACTTCAATATTATGAAAGTTTAATTGAAGTTGCTGTGAATTTGAATACTACACTATTCATTCGAATGTTAGAAGTATTTGAACACTCGCTCAGACCTACTTTATGCATTTGTTTTTCGTTGTGCGAAATTTTTTCTGCAGCTACATGTGCCGGTTAAGTAGCCGAAATACGATTGAACATATGGGTTATAAAGTCGCATAATTCATCCAACGTCGCGGGATCGAATCCCGGCTGCGGCGGCTGCATTTCCGATGGAGGCGGAAATGTAGGCCCGTGTGCTCAGATTTGGGTGCACGTTAAAGAACCCCAGGTGGTCGAAATTTCCGTAGCCCTCCACTACGGCGTCTCTAATAATCATATGGACGTTAAACCCCGCAAATCAATTAATTCATGCAATGGATAATTCAAGCTGGCTAATTAGTCCAGCAAAAGTTAAGTGTTCTTAAGTGGGGGAAAAACTCCTTATTTCCAACACGCCACTGTTATGCGAACAAGATTGCCTGACCATACAGAATCTCTATGTGCAATCGCAAGCTGTATGACTAAGTTTGATGCATCACTTGTTGCTGTAGCGTCGCGAACTCTTAACTATGTGCTTGCTGCGTTCACTCCGGAAGGCGTTATGTTTGAAACAGTAGGGGAAAATTGTGTGGCCTCGCTTCAGGTGCTGCTAATTGATGGAGGTGTTGGAGGAGCATTAGTGGGGGTGTAGTCTCTATTTTCTGGCATGGGCAGAATTTTTTTTACTTAAAAAAATCAAACAATGAGAGAGAGAGAAAGGCAACACTGGTGCTTTACTTGACAACAACTTTTCTTGGCATTGAAGTGAAGGCTTTGTAGCCAAATCACGTGCATCCTATCACTAGTGAATGTTGTTACACAATAGTGCCCGTACTTTTAATGTGAAATATCAAAGTTCCTTCTTTATTTTCTGTGTAGGGCTATTTGGACACAGTTCACACCCGCAAGGTATTCATATTTCTTTTATTTATTTATTCGTTGTGACTTCAAGATTCTGAATGCTTAAGAAAGTCCCGCCTTTGTATCTCAAACGTTAAGCGGCATCTGCGTTTACATGAAACTCTGATGGTGTGCCACTGTCACTTTCCATAACGTTACGACACGTGTGCTGAATCAAACTACTTCGCGTAGTGCTACATGTCTAGAAATTTCGCATCCATAACTTTCCCTTCAGTGCCAAGAAAAGTTGTCGCCCAGTACAGCGCTTGTGAAGCAGGCTGCCTACCAACCGATTCGTGCCACCCCTAGATTTCGACTTGTCCATTGTCATGGTGACAAAAGGGGGTGCACTGGCTCATTATTGGCCCACACCATAACTTCAACATTTTGTAGTCTGTTGTGGTTACTCGTTTTTCTGGCCATTCAGTCAGTAGCCTCGCGCGTAACATTTACTGTGCTCTGCCTTGTCAGCTTTGCTTGCTGCTGCAATACATGGAGTGATTGGCGATGCATGTGGTGGTCTGTCCTGTCTCCATGTGTTCTTTTAGCATTTGTTTGGAAGCAGTGTGATTATGTACCTACGTGACTATTCTTACTATCCTTTAGGCATCGGTTATATCCGTCTTCCATCGGTACTACCTGTGCACCACATCTTGTAGTCCGGAAGTATGCGCCTGCTCCCCTGAGTTTGCATCTCGAGCCGTCCATTGCACCATACTTTCGCTGTACAGAATTATTGAGGCTGCATTCCTAAAGACATGCAGTAGGGCCTGCTTCATTACGTATGCGTTTCTAATGCTAGCATAGTCAAATTAAGGGAACCCCCGCTAGTTTGAACGCTAGTTAGTTCAAAGTTATTTGCTATCCTCTCATGTTTCTCAAAGGATCAAGAGTGTGCCATATTGCCATGCACACTTTTTCTATTTTAATGTAACTGATAGGCTTGTGCGAATATTCGACTGTTACGAATAACTGAACTAATTGCACAGCATTTGAATTCGCTTCAATTTGAATTTAAATTATTGAAATTTTCAAAGTATTCAAAATAAACAAATAGATGTATATTATTTCACATCTAAAGGTGGTTTCACTGCAGTTGAAAGGTGCTAAACCGTGACACCACTTCTTTGAATGCGTGTTCGCTTGCATGTATATTCATGTAAAGGTGCTTTTACTGCAGAGTGGGATGCTAAGCCGTGAAACAACTAATTCAGGAAAAATTCGCACTGCCAAAAAGTCATACCTGCCAAGTCTCCCAGATTGGCCGGGAGACTCCCGGATTTCGATCGTTTCTTCCGTTTGTACGGTTGTTGTGAAAATCTCCCACAAATCGAAATTTCTCTGTGTGATCTGGCCGCATTTACACAAAAGCAGCTCAATCCACTCCAGGCTTTTCGAACCTACCCCATTTTATTATAAATGAGTTGAGGCGTTCATCTAAACGTACATTATAACCTCAGTGATGCGAAACCGTGGCAGATCCGAATTCTTAAAATTCCCCAGCCAAATTTCACTATGTTCATTGGGCCTCAATTTTAATGTTCTGAACATATTTCCTAGTCGCGGCAGGTGATACGAACTTCAGTATGGAAACCGTCAAACGAAGGCCGACAGCAGCGTACTCAAAGCTTTAAAAGTATGCTTGCCGCAACCGCTGCGCACAGAACCGCGGTCGTGGTGACGCGATAGCGATCTACAACCTCCTAGTGCACACAGCAGTAAGTTAAAGGCAGTAAATACGTGAAAAAAATAAAATAGTCACAGTTTTGCCACAAGGGCGAAGCAATGAATGCGACAGTAACAACTTGGAATGTAACGCTGAGAACGGCAAGCAGATCGAAACTGGCAACGCATTGCTCACACACAAATGACCAGGATGAGAGCGAATTAACAACATTTACCATTTGACACGTAACGTGCTGTTCACACAAAAACGATGCTCGATACGTAATCACAGGTACAGATGAGTACAAACTAACAAGTGTCCCAGTTGTTATACCTCGCTGTGCATGAAAAGCACACTCTTTTCGCAAAAGGGGCCTGCGCAGAGACCGAAGTGACCTTTGTGGGCTCGGCAACTAATGCAATCGTTTCAGTGAAAGCCGAAGGCACACGATTCTCCCCGCCCAAGGATAAGCGTGCGCACACAAGCAATACCCCCCCCCCCCCCCCCCCAAATCCATGGGGCAAAGTACACGTGAGGGATAAGTACTCGTCGGCGCATCGCGACTAGCTGGGTGCCGAGCAGGGGCGGCTTTTTCTTTCTTGAGTGTTCATATATATATATATATATATATATATATATATGTAGATGCGTATACATATACGGTGAAAGACAGCGGCAGTGGCGACGGCAAGAAAAACAGCCTAGATTGTCCATGTAATTGCTACTGCAAGAAGAAGGGCCCAGATGCGTTTTGGCGTTCCTGTCAAAATAACCTAGTAGTGAGCAAAGCTTTGACCCGCGCTTTTGCGGCAGCCAGCTGGGCCATTCTGTCCGTTCATGGCCCAGGAAGACACACGCGAGTTGTTTTGACCGAAATAGATTCTCGTAGTTGTGTTGATCCTTTGAAACTCTCACCTTAGTGAATAATCCTACCATCGTGTGTTCGGCCGCCCCTAGCCACTATAAGACCGCTGATGTTGGCGTTTGCCATTTAGACACACCTCCCACACCCTTTTGTTTTCCCCGATGTTTTGTTTGTTTGCTTGTCCTTGTTTTTTTGTTTTGTTTTTTGATGCCGTGCACCCCCCCCCCCTCTCTAGCTGCGGAATTCTCCTGGATTCAGAATCCTTGAACTTGGCAGGTATGAAAAGTTCTACATTTTAAAGTTAGATGAGCATATTCCCCCCGAATCAGTTCAACCTACGACGTGACAGCAATGAATGGCCCTTCGCGACAGCCTTGGCGACAGCAAATCCTCTCTTCGTTGCTCAAAAATTGCATGCATGTCGTTGGGCCAAAAAGTTTGGTATTTGCAAGAAGGGAGTGTCAGTTGGCGGGGGCAGTTTCGTGACTTTCGCTCACTGTGGGCTTGTTAGCTGTGATGTGTCTACTCTCTCGCCGCTAATGAACCCCGCTGTGGCTCATAGATAGAAAAACAATACGGCGCACGGCAGCGGGCGAGAGGCAAAGGGGGGAGGAGGTAGTGGGCTGAGGTGATTAAGGGGGTCGGCTTAATAAAAAAAAATGGAAGAGATATAACAGGCGAGGAGGTGCCAGGTGTTGGTTAGTGGGACTGCTGTGGATCAAAGTAGGGGGGGGGGGTTATTATGTGGGAGAAGAAGAAAAGTCAAAATTTTGATGATCGAAGTTGGGGGTGCGCTTATTATGCGAGTGTGCTGTTTACGTGAGTAAATATGGTATATTTTGTCTTTCAGAAGGGTTTGCGTTGTTGTCCATCATTCATAAAGACTTGAATGTGCTCCATGTACTCATAATGAGGGGTGCTTACTATGAGTTTTCCCTTACTTGCTAAACACCTTCAACGCAAGAGTATCATAAGGATACATTCATTGTAGTGCATGAGTATCTTTACTGAATGCAATCTGCACTGCGTACTATATTCGGCTCTGTTAAGTTCGTTGTCATCACACTGTACTCTAATTATTGGTAAGGGATTCAGCTGCCCTCTCAGTGATCAACTGTACGGATGGGAGGGGCCTCTGGGAGGGGCCTCTTCCAAGTTTTGAAGCTGTCACTCGTGTGTTGACTCGTGTGCTTGCAGGTCAAGACAGACTCGTATGCGGAGGTGCTGAGCAGCTTGGAGCCCTCGTATGCTGTGCTGCTCATGTGGTGCTACCTCATTGCCTACCTGGACGCCCAGAAGCAGAGGGATGTCATTCACTCCTACAAGGTCCACCTGCACGTTTCCGTTTCCTTTTTTTGGTATTTTAATTGTGCTAAACTCGTAGCCGGCTGGCTTCATTCACACTTTTGTGCATATTTTGCCCGTTTTCTTTATTCTTAAAAAGATATAAGTAAAAGAATGACTTGCCATTCTTGTTTCATCATGAGGTGATGACAGGTGTTACAATTGCTTTGGCGACTTTGTTAATGGTACAGTTGAGCAGCTTAGCCGACAGTCCTGGAGTGTTTTGTGTTAGGTGTTATTGCAAGTTTGGTATTTTTCCCGAGATAATTCAAAATGGGCTTCATTTATTTACACTTCTTCACAGTTCAGCGTTGAGGTGTCAGTAAGTACAGGAAGCCTTGGCAACTTGAGTACCTGCAATTTGACATTGACAGTCTAGTGGGACAAATTATTTTGCATACGCATGCCGGTCGGAGCATTATCTACGCAGCAGTACTGTTGGAGCTAATTGTCACACCATTCTTCGGAGAATTGTGATACAGTCGATTCCCGATATATTGAACTCGAAGGGGATCGCGAAATAGTTTGATATATCGAGAATTCGAAATACAAAGTATACATATTTAAAGCCTAAATTGTCGAATTTTAAGCCTCTGAAATTGTTACAAGAGCTTAAATAATGATTCGCTCAAAAGACAAGGGGCTAACTGCAGGTTACCGCACTTTATTTAGTCCGTAAACTTGTCTTGCTTCTTGCACGCTGTCAAGTTCCAGTCATCCTTAATATCATTGAAGCTTTTCAAATAAGGGAACTTGGCTCCTACGGCCACAACGTTAGTTGACGCAGAATGCCGATACAAGCTTTGTGGCGCGGCAAAAGCTTGGTTAGCGACGGCAACGAAGACGTTGGCACATTCATAGCCGCACGGCTACACTTCTGCGGCACCGGCAACGGCAGCCAAAATCTCAGCAACTATGCAGTCAGAAACAGCAACATCGTCATCTGTACCGATGACGATGTTGTAACGTGTAACATGTCGGACAGCAGCAGCTGTAAGTTGCTGCTGTCCGAGATGGTGCCCGGAAATGCTGATAAGTCGCAGAATTTATTGAGGCATCGTACACCGTTGTTAGGGGTCATAACGCACCCAAAGTCGTGACCTCACCCGCAAGGAACGTTTACAACACAGTGTTTTACTTGATGCCGCTACATGTGCCAGTCATAATTTTTATCACTACGTGCGGGTTAACGTTGTTAACTCCCGAATGAGGATTTATCAGGAACGAGGCGAGAAGTGCACAAGATCTCAAGGCGCAAAAGACGCAACACCGAGTTCATTCAAGTTCTCACCGTCGACATGTTGGCAATATCGATTTCACTATGGCTTTGTAGCTGGCAGCCGCTGCTTTTAGCCGCTTTGATGCGAAAAGATTAAAAAAAAAAAAAAGCGTAGCCTCCGAGAAACGTGTTTTGAAACCGAAAACGCTAAAAATATGTGATAGGGTAGCACATCTCGAAGGCCATGCTTTTCAGGCTTGCAAGTCATTGTGTGCTAACAAGGAACGAAATGTGAACCACATGCGAACATTGCACTGAGATCGCCAAGTCACTTCCCATTCTCATTTCGGTGACCTCGGCAATTGGTCTTTCGGAAAACATTATGTCTGCGCCCTAAGACCTGCAGATCGTGAATCAAACTTACAGATGTAGCAAGTGCCGTGCAACGAACCAGATCAGCGCAATGAAATAACACTTGCTTTTTTTTGTCGCCTGTGCGTGGAGAAGGATCGGAACTTGTTAGAACGCGGCCTAAAATTGATCAATATTTGCTAGGGAAAATGCACTTTCTGGGCTTTGGCGCGACACAGCGTTCGATATAGCGGATGTCCCACTGTGCGGGATATCTGCTAACTTGCCACACTTTTGCATGGGAAGTTTAAAAGAATTTTTCAACTGTTTGATATAGCCAATAATTCGATATATTCGAGTTTGATATATCCGGGATTGACTATAATGCTGTTAGATAAAACAACTCATCTGTGTTGAGAAAAACTTCTAAGAGAAATTTGTTGGGCTGGTTATATGTGAGATAATCTTTCATTAGGATCAATGGTTACTTTTCTAGGTAATACTCTGGGGTGCTGACTGTTGCTCTATATTTACATTTTATGAGCACTCTACTGTTTATTGTGTACAGTTGTAGACCTTGCCTTGACATCTTTGTTATGAAATATTGCATCTGGACCACCCAGGTTGTGTGTTTGAGGTAGCTGGCCACACCTGTGTGCAGTGTTTTTGCTGCAGCATGTTTTTGGGGAATGGATGGCTTATTATTGAGTGGAAAAATTCTTGATAATAGAGTGGTTTGTTTTTGCAAATGTAAAGTTTCCTGTGTAACACTGCAAAAAATATTAGGGAGCTTTTATTCATCTTGCTCAGAGTCAAGAGTGTTCTCTCTTGTTTTGCTCCTCCATTTTGTAGGTGAAGTTCCTGGATGTTTTCAAGACTGCGGTGTTGTTGAGCAAGACTGCCGCACCAACTCATGTTCTCGTAAGTGTCTGGCAAAGTTGTTGTAGCTCTTCTTTCAAAGGGATACAGAAGCAAAAAAGAAAAAAAGACTTTGCCCATACAATCTAACTCCTTTATAAGAGACACTGATGTAGCAGACTGTTGGGTACGAGAGACGCCAGGTGGCCTACATTGAAATGGGGATTGATTACTTAATGAGAGCTTGGTACCCTGCTTATATAAAAGATGCCTCATGTAAAGGACAAGTGTTCCCGAATTAGTGCATGTCCTTCATTAAGAGGTTTAACTGTATTAGCCAAGTACTCTCTCACAATATCGAAGGCACAAAGCAGGTTCTCACATTATAGATTTTGAAAGCAGCTTCTAGAGCCAACATAATTGTTTGTCTAAACACAAAACACACAAAAAAAACACTCTAAGTGAGCTAAACACATAGTGTGACAATATTCAGTTGGTTTTATTCAGTTACTGTGGTTGAATAGAATAAAGAACTGCACTGAAATATGTAGCATTCCACTTGCATTCAAGTTTCAGCTCGTAAATAGAAAGGTGCAAAAGATAAAACTTATTTTCTGTTAAAACGACCTGTGATTGCAAAATTAATGTTATTGCAGTACACCAAAAATAATCCTTTAGCGTAAACAGCTTAGCGCTTCATTTCAGTGCAGTGAGGCTTTCTCTAGTGATTGGCAAGCTTGTGCACCTCCATGTTCTGTGCATGACCGTGTTTCCCGTCCACTGCATCACGTACTGTTACTCATAAACATTGGAAATGCCGATTTTAGTGATGCTTCAAAGGATCGGTGCATTATAATTGCCCTAAAGCTTGCTATGCGACAATACTAGGGATGGGCAAATGGTTAACTGGAGGCTTCACAAGCTGAACAGTGAAATGGTAGAATAGTTTTGAATCGCATGGGATATATCATACGAATTTGTATGAAAAAATTTGTATTTTACCGTGACCCACCTAATTTGCACAATATTTTTAGGGGTTAGAACTAGGCTTGTGCAAATAAACATTTTTTGTTTCATAGCAAAGTCCAAGCAAGTTAAAATTGTGGCAGAATTTGAATAGTAGTAAGGTTTAAATGTACAGGTGGTAATATACACTATGTGTAGGCTTGGGCAAACGGTCAGCTTTAGGTTTGAAGCGGGGGTCTGCAGACAATCAGTTTTGAATTTTCGGAAATTAAAATGCTTGTAAGCACCCCGCATCGCATGCCTTGATTCTTTAACATGCGTGGCTGCATGTTAAATATAAAAGTTTTTGGCAAGTGCTTTTGAAAAAAGTTTGTTTATAGTTTGGATATTCTTATAAGCATTCTATGCTGGACATTGCTTATGAGCACTCTTATGCTGTATATTTCTTAATGAGCACTCTATGCTGAAGTGTAATATTAATTTGAATACTTGAAGTGCCTGAATATTTGCCCAAGCCAAGACTGTTCTCATGAGAGGCTTCACAAAGCAGATACAATCCTGTGATCAGACTTGCTGAATGGGTTGTTGCTCACATTTGCGGGAAGCATCATATAGCCTCTTTCATTAGCACCTCTTCAACTCTTGATTGACATTGGGGGGGTACGATGGGACATAAATGATGTGTAACAAGCTGGTGTTTCTGCAGGAGCATTCGCGCTGTCTTCTGAGGCATGCCACCCACGACGACTTCAAGGAACAGCTGGTGCCTGCCCTGCAGAAGGCCATGCTACGTAACCCTGAGATCATCATGGAGAGTGAGTGCCTGTTGCTGCTTTTACGAGTAGGACCACTGTTCAGCACATGTTGCTCTGTGTTGGTGTGCACGCATCTTTGATGCAAGTGTTTTTGGCTCAAACTTTCTTAGCCTCGATATAGTGAAGCATGTCTATCTGCTATTTCGATATAGCGAAATTTTACTGTTACCAGAGAGGAAGACTGAAGTAAAACATTGATGCTTTTGGTGGTGCCAATGGCGATATCTTCAGCGTGGTTTCGCAATTACATTTTTCAGTGTTGAGTGCATTTTTCTTTAAAGCTGGCCGCTGCCCGAGGACAATGCGTGAGCAAGTCCACAGTGAAATGTTTTAGTACAAACAATCTCACATTCATTGGCATTATTATGTCATCCGGCACATTAGTTGGTTAGTCTGCCGTTGTTTTTCTATGCAGATGTACTTTATGTTGATGGCCTAATTATACTGGCGGATGGCATAAAAATGCCGATATGTGTGAGAGTGTTTGTATTAAAACATTTCACTGTAGACTTCCTTTCGCATTGTTCTTGGGCAGTGGCCAGCTTTTAAAAAAATGCATTCACCACTACGTAGCATAGCAAGTTTGAGAAAATCTTGTGGAGAAAATGGCGTCGAAATGCGACCAATGAATTTTGAAATTTGCTACATGACGCCTGGGGATTTCAGTGCGAAATTAAAAATGAAACCTTGACCTTGGTTCCCGCGTTTTTTAACAAAGCTATGACAATGAAATTAACGACATCACATTTCTCAGAGAACACTTTGTCGACGTAAACAGATTTCATAGTTCCACTTTAGTGTACACCACTGGGAAGTCAGAACTATGCTCATTTTGCATGAAGTGTAGAAACTGTAAACGAAAGTATGTGCTTTACTTAGTTCTAAATTTTCATGTTTTAATCTGTGAGTACTATACATCTTTAATTTGCAGTTGCATTGCTTGTTTATTCGTGACTCGAGAATGATTTATGCTGCATTTTCCAGCTGACATTCATTTGGCTAGACATTACATCCTCGCGACAGTTCCCTCTCAACTGCTGCTCTAATGGGGTTTATTGGGCCTGCGTAGAAAACTCGCAAAGCTTCAGAAAGAGGCTGAATACTATTTTCTTCCCTTGCCAGGCTCTATGAAAATATCATATTTCCATTTTCCGAAGTGCCATAGTACTATTTTTTCTTTTTTTGTATGTGAATTCTTTACCATAGTTACTGGGTGATTGACAGGAGCTTCTCTTGTAGTGAGTAATGATAAGACTTGACTAATGTGGTGGTTTTTCCATCTGTGCTGTGGCGCAGGTGTGGCGCATGTGCTGCAGGGGGTCACTCTGGAGCTCAGCCCTTATCTGAGTGAACTGGGCAAAAGTCTGGCACGTGAGTAGCCTTCTTAACTCATTGCAGGACTAGCGAGCATGATTTTTGCCAGGAGGAGTTGCTTTTACCTTACCCTTTGTTAATTCTATCGTGAGTGCTGGGGGACCACCAGACGAAAAGAAAGCAGTACTAACAAGCAAGACAAGGGATAAAAACGGGGTCCTCCGAGTAGTAGCAGGATCTCAATGGCCTCATACCTGTAAATAATGTCTATTTGAAATATGTCGACGGATTCGATTCCTTCTAAGGCTGCTCCACACCATATCCCTCACATTTTGGTGCCAATTGACCCGGGATTGACCAACCGTTGGCTACGAGTGGCATGGAAGACATGAACAAGTTGAAGGCGAAGCGGACTGCGCGACGATTCTTGATCAGCCGGATCACCCATGAGGCAAGTGCCCTCATGACGCATGAGCAGCTCGATTCCATATACGAGAAGCTAAAAACGAACAGCGATGAATTGGGCAAAATCTGCTCTGAATTAGAGTCTCATCTCGGACGATGACTTCCAAGCCGAGTACGATACCATACTCAATACGAGGACAACGCGACACAAATCCTGGCCGAGCTCCTAAGCAGGCGGAAACACATTTCAAGCACACAAGCAGAAGATGGATCGGTGACGTCTACCCATACGATCGCTACACCATCTGACAGGACGGGAGTCAAGCTACCAAAGCTCATGATTGCGCCCTTCTTTGGGGATGTGTGTAAATGGACGGTATTCTGGAAGCAGTTTGCCCAGCTTGTCTATAACAATGCCACCCTGACAACGATGAAGAAGTTCCATTATTTGCGGCAGTTCGTTAAAGAAAACACTGCTTCAGCGGTGGCCGGTCTTCCAACTACAGAAGCATGTTACCAGGAGGCTGTAGACATGCTACAGAATCGTTTCGGCGACAAGATGCGCCAAAAGCAGGAATACTTTGGAAGATTAAGTCATCTGACTCCTGTATGAGCATCTGATGATACAAGAGCTCTCTGGCGACTATACGATCACGTCCTAGTGAACATTCGAAGGCTAGAGTCTCTGAGTGTGCAAGGGTCTTCATTTTCGCCGATGCTCTGTGACATCGTGCTGAGGGCATTGCCAAGAGACATCGTGGTTTTCTACCACTGTGCCTGTGCCACACAAGAAGCTATGGACCATGCTGCTGATCTTTTGGGCCTTGACGATCTCCTGACCTTTCTTTCAATCGAACGGCAGAGCTTGGAAAACAGTCACTACAAGGATAGTAACGGACGATACAGTGGTGGTCAACATTCTTCGAAACAGCCAGCCCGAAGTCACAGCTGGGACTACTTGACTTTCATCTCTTTTTCTGACGAACTAGTCTGGACATTTTCAAGGTGTCGGAGAGATGTGTGCGTTCTGCACATCAAGACAGCACTCCACAAAAGCGTGTCCTACCGACATGTCCTTGACAAAGAAGAAACACGTGCTGTCCAATGATAAACGTTGCTTCACGTGTACAACGAAAAGCCATGGGGCGCGTGACTGTAAATGAAGAGTCTCCTGCTTAAGGCGAAAAGGCCCACATGCCTACAGCATGTGTTATTCATGAAGGATTACTCGGACCTCGCACCAAGGCCTCACCAAAGACCATGTGAGCAAACCAAGTGAACCCGCAACTAAGAAGAAAAGCGCATAGACGTCGGAGTTAAAGAAGACATCAGCAGTTGATAGTCGAGAAGAGGCAAGCTCTCCTAGCAATACGACTCAGAACAAAACCTCTGAACCTCTGAACATTCGACTGCCATTATTACTATGACATCTGCTATTTCAGAAGAGACCCGCAAGAAGACTGCATTTTATGATAACCGCAGGCAGCTCATACAAGAGAAAGACGCTGCACCAAGTAAAGCTGAAATTCATAGGAACATGGAGCAGGCAGCATCGCTGGAAGCCAAGGTGATTGAGCTGCGATTAATGTTGCATCAGGAGAGAATGAACTGCAAATGGGAACAGAGCGATAATGCGACCAAAATAACGAAACTTCAATTTTCACATTCTCAGGTGCGAGGACACCGCAAAAAATTGGAATGTCAACTTGAAGAAGTCATGCGGATAGCTTCTCAGCGAGACTTGGTGATGCAGTATGAGTCACAAGCACGTCACTTGAATCGGCAGTTTTACGAGGTGCGAAAGCTGCTAATTGCAGCTGGAGAGAAGCTACGGCATGCAATTCCTTTGGTGCCCTAGATTCAACAGAAGATGGTTGAGGAAATGCACCAGACTGAAATTGGGGAAGGAAGCAAACAGCCAGGACATATGGAAAGATCAATGTATCAGGAGATGATCACATGTGAGGCACGACTGTCTAATCTGGAAAGCGACCTACTGGAATCACCTGAGAAAGTAGAAACCAATGAGCAATCGCGCATACATGACCAAGGTGCTATGCTGAAGCTGCGGGGGTATGTATTACAGCTTGCTGAAGGTGTGTCCAATAACTATATTGCGAGCATCAGTGACAAGGCAACAGAACTCTCTCACCAGAATGACATCCTAGACGGGAAGACCTTTGAGGACATTTCTGGAAAAAGGCGCCTGCATGTCCATGTGTAAAAGCAACAGACCGAGAGGCCTGTTGACATCATCGCCGACAATACGTTCTACCTTAATCGAATTTCTGGTCGTGGCAGTGGCGTATGTATTCTAGTGAAAAAGGTCCTTGACTGTGACCTAATTCAAAATTTCACCCACTCTTGCAATGACTTCGAATTTCTATCAGTTAAACTACAAAATGTGGTTCTTGCCGTTGGTTATAGACCACCAAATGGCGAAACGGCATCCTTTCTGGATTACCTGGACACGTTTTTTGCGTTCACTAACACAAATCGCTTAGACGTTGTGTGTGGCGGTGACATGAACATAAATATGCTCAAACAGGAAGCTATAGTACAAAAACTTGATATTTTGCTGAAATCTCATTGCTTTTCAAATATGATCACTGTCCCTACGAGAATCACACAAATGTCTTCGTCCTTGATTGATTTGTTCTTAACAAAAATACCGACAGAAAACCTCAAGGCTGGTGTTATTACTGTAGATTTGAGTGATCATTTGCCAATATACATTTGTTGTAGGAAACACTTATGTGACAAAAACAAACCGAACACATTTTTCACCCAGCGTATAAACGAACAAACACTGAAAATATTTTCGGAGAAGATTTTGAGGGCTCCTTGGACGAATATACTTAAAATGAATGAGCCAAACAAGGCGTACGAAGAATTTTTGAACATACTAAAACCAATTTATACTGCTTCGTTTCCTCTGGTTAAAACAAAGCAGAACAGGAAAGTTCGTAAACTCTGGATCAACGCGGAACTTCGGAAAAGAATACAAGAAAAAAATATGTTATTTAGCCGCTATCTTAAAACGAAAGACCCTAAATTGTTTAAAGAATTCAAGGTTAAACGAAATTGCCTAAATAAAGATCTCAAAAAGGCAAAACAAGAATATTATAACAATATGTTTAGTTCAGTTTCTGGGTGTTCAGATATAATGTGGAAAAGGCTAAATTCTCTCTTAAATCGCAATGTGTCCACGGGTTCAGTACATAGCATGAATCTTAACGGCGAGGTCATATCAAGAAAACCCTTGGCCGACACTTTCAATAAATATTTTGTAAATGTTGCAGAAAAATGTGATGTGAGTAGTAACCTTGGAAGTGTCCCATTTATCGACAGTACCATTTTTCTTGATCCGACAAGTGAGAATGAAGTAAAAGAATTAGTTTTGAATTTGAAAAACAGTACAGCACTTGATATTGACGGGATACAAGTTCAACCTATAAAGCATGTCATTATATTCCTTCTTCCTTATATAACGCATATATTCAATTTGTGCCTTGGCCGGGCTGTTTTTCCCACTAAAATGCAAGTTGCACGCGTTACCGTCCTCTTCAAGAAAGGCGATAGAAATAACATGTCGAATTACCGGCCTGTGTCCATTCTGCCAGTCCTATCGAAGGCATTAGAAAAACTAATATTAAAACGGCTGACTAATTTTGAAAGGAAGTTTCAGTTGCTTCATGACTCGCAGTATGGTTTCCGCAGAGGTTTCAGTACAGAATATGCTCTCACGGCACAGAAAGAGTACATTTATCAACAATTCGAACAGGGAAACGTTGTGTTGAGATCGTTCGTAGATTTTACGAAAGGTTTTGACCACATTAACCACAAATTACTTATAGAAAAACTGGAACGGTACGGTATTCGGGGAATGGCGGGATCATTAATACAGTCTTATTTGCAACACCGTAATCAGATTGTTAGCCTGGGTGGTTGCAATTCCGATTCTTTGTCAATCGTTGCAGGAGTTCCACAGGGAAGCATTTTGGGACCTTTCCTCTTCAATATTTACATTAATGATATCGTGAACATCTCCTCTAACGTAAAATTTATAATATATGCAGATGATACGAATATATTTTTAACAGGAAAATCAGTGAACCAATTAATAACACATGCAAATCTACTGCTGATTAGATTAGAAAAATGGACAAGAGAAAACGGTCTAAAAATAAATGTTGCAAAGACTAAGGCTATGGTATTTCATGCTAAAAATAAAGCGGAAATTGTAAAACAAACGATCTTTTTAAATTCCACCCCTGTCGAGATAGTTTCTTCTCTTAAAATATTAGAAGTAATATTTCAAGAAACATTATTATGGGATCACCACATACACTTCTTAGCTACGAAGGTCTCTCAGGTAGTCGGCCTTGTGTACCGAAACAAGCACTTGCTTCCTCGGAATATTTTGTTGTTAATTTACAATACCTTATTTTTATCAAGAATCAATTACTGCCATCTAGTTTGGGCTCTAACTTCTAAAGAAAACATAAACAAACTTCATATGTTGCAAAAAAGGTTTGTACGGGCGGTATAGAACGTGCCACGTACTTATCATACTCGTTCCTTATTTGAAAAATACAACCTAATGCCAGTAATAAAAATGTATGATTTTCTTCTGTCCAAGAAATATAAGCAAGACATAAAAAACTCTAACCCGTTTCTAAAGCAGTTGGCAGATTTAATACTCAACCAGCCTAAGTATAATACCCGGAAAAATGAAGTGTGGACTGTTCGAACCTTTAGAACCACATACAGTCTTCAATCGTTGGGAAATAAACTTCCAAGGTTACTAAATGAACTTAGGGATAACGAAATTTACTTAGAAAAAATTACCTTTAAACAACTGCGGAATCATTTCCTCCAGACGTCATGATCACTCGTTTCTGTTACTTGTAATTTCTAAAGAATGTATTTTTGTATTTTGTTTTTGTTGACGTGTATTTTGTATACTGCTTTGTGTTTTTTTTTCACGATATGTTTCTTGGTGTCTTGTTTGTCTTTTTTTTTTTAGGAAATGAGTATGCATTTGTGGTGTTGCCAAAGCAATAAATTAGGCATATTTCTTCTTTTTATGATGCTTTTTACTGTGTTTTGCAAGGCAAATGCGCCTGTATTTCACATTGCAAAATTATTTGTTTATAGCATTATATGTACCAGTATGTTACACCTGTACAGTGTTGATTGCTCATTTTTGTCGTATACATGTTTGTATGCTTCGCTCGGATGTATTACGCAAATGCTTCCTTTTTTTAAGTCAAATACGCCAACATTTTTTGCATCTTTTGAAATAGATTTTTTGTTGTTCTTGTTTAAGCATTAGACGTTTCGTTTCATCACACATGTGCAGTGATGATTTCATTCTTGTCATAGACCTGTTTATTTTACGCGTATGATACCGAATGTTTTTATGAAAGTGTTACCTCTGCTGCGATGTGTTCGGGGAGGGGGAAGGGGGGCCTGCGGCCTTGTCAAGCTGGCATCACGCCAGCTTTTTCTGCAGGTCTCCTGCATCATGTATCCTTGATGCGAAATAAAGCCATTATTAACTGCCGCGAGCCGGCAGCAAAAGAGATTCTCGGTCTGCCTACCAAGTGGACAGAGAAGCTTGACAAAACAAAGAGTTGGTTTGAGGCATAGATAGGTCATAGTGACAAGACAAGTCAGCATCGACAATTATAGAATATCTCGGAGAACATTCAGTTAAGAAGTTCAGGTGGTGACGTCCATTCATTTACTGCGAGACAACACAGTGTTATGGTAACAAGGCCTGCTCCGAAGTTGTAGCACTTAATACTGTGCGGCCGGCTTCACTGCATGGCCGGGAATGTTAATTTCATTGTGAGTGCTGCGGGACGATCAGATGAAGAGGAAGAAGTAGTAACAAGCACGGGAGAAGAAACAGGGTCTTCCGAGTAGTAGCAGGGTCTTAATGGCCTCATGCCTGTAAATAAAGTGTCTTTGAAACACTTCGATGGATTCAAATCCTTCCAAGGCTGCTCCAAGCCATATCCCCCACACCATCTTTCTTTTCTCTGCTGCTCAGCATGAGCTGCATGAAGGTCTCTGAAAACCTTGAAATAAAAAAAAATTGCTTTTTAAAGGCACTTGAAAGTGCCCAAATATTTTTTTTCCCCAACAAAACAGTGGAATTTCTTGACAAACGCAGTTTGATAGTTACCATGTGGCCTGCTTTTTGGGGTATACAAGGATTCATCTGGTGTTCATTCGAATTGTGCGCTTCAATAAAGTGGGCGGGAAAGCACCTTCCGTCTTAGTTCGATTGGTAGAGCGCAGGGTGTGCGACTCGTAGGATGTGGGTTCGGATACCACCAACGGAAATATAGTTTTTGATTCATTCTACTTCATTAAAGTAAACGCGATGATTACCATGGTGCAGTTAAAAACAACAACAATGCTTGCTATGATTTTCTTGGTCTTGTCTGTTGGATTCGACCAGGTGCAAAGTCCGTGCACCTTAACAAACTCCAGGTGGTCAATTTCCGGAGCCCTCCACTGCAGCGTCTCCCATAATCACATCATGGTTAGGGCTTGTGAAACCCCAGATAATATTATATTACTGTTATGAAAATTATTACTACAAATACAGATTTGTAGGCAGGGGTACTGGCAGGGGTATAATTCGTATACAGTTAAATACATAAATGCAAGCACGGAATAGCAGCTTTGCTATATGTATTGGCTCAATGGATGCTATGTATGCTGCGCTAACTCTTGCCATTGTTTCCTTCAGAACACCTGGTGGCCAAGGACGAAACCTGTCGCCAGGGGGCAGTGGTGGCTTTGAAGAACCTAGCCCACCAGTGCGGTTCGCAGGAAGCCCTCGAGGCACTGATCAAGCACCTCGTGGGGGTCCTCAATGGTCAGTTCACTCACGAGAGGATTGCCCTAGCTTTCTTTGGTAGAAATACCTGACGAAGGGGTAGGTAGGTTAAACGTGATAAATGTTCCCTGCACAAACTACCAGAAGAACTGGACACTGCTCGGAGAGACACAGAAGGCATCACCACATTGCATTGATGAGTTCTGTATGTGTCTTTCTCAGCTGTGCCCAGTTCTCTCTGTAGTTTGTGCAAGGTGCGTTTATATTTGATGTTAGTTTAAATTAGAACAATTCCTGGCCACAAGAGCTGACCCCTAGATCGGTCTGCTTGCAGTCTGTCATATACTTTAGCCATGAAAAGCCTACTTTCCTTTGTTGGTACTCAAAAAGCTCAGTGTATGTATAAATTGAACTTATGTTCACTTATCTGGGAAGTTGGGTAGTTGCGAGCGTACTGTGCGTGTTGCTTGCAGATGAATGACAATTTACAAACACAGTAGACTCCCGGTTAACAGAATGACTGGTTAAGGGGAGACTCTGGTGTTCTAAAAAAATTTTATCTGCTATAAAAAGAGGTATGCAATTCATTTTTTTTTACATCAAGTAGTTTAGGGAATCAGATATTTATAATAAATTTATACCGGATATACTGGTGTAGTGGTCGCACTTAAAAAAAAATCGACTCCAACTTCGGGATGCGATCATTACGCGGGGTAATCTTTCCGGGAAAAAATATTCCGAGCACTGAAAACGCAAAAAAGTTGCTAATCAGAATTCTTACGATAACTATCATGAACATAACCAAAAATAAAAGTAAACGAAGGCTTACCTTTGTAATAAAATGCACGCATTACGCAGGAGCTTCATGCATGGCACACTGCCCTTTCATTTTTTACCTCTGACCCCCTAACGTTCACTCAGACTCCGAAGCCTCACTAGTGTCAGTGTCGTCGCTGCGCGATTCCCTGTTGGAACCAGCAGTGTCTTCACTGTCCCACAGACGGTCATCTTCCGTTCCGTCGAGCGCGTAGGAAATGCCAGTCTTTTTGAAGCTCTTGATGACCACCTCGTCGGAAATGGTACTCCACGCTTCGAGAATCCATGAGCAGAGGACGTCTACGGACGGTCTCCTGATTTTGCCACTTGGCGTAAAATCGTGGTCGCTCGCCGCCATCCACTCTGCGTACAGCCTTCGGACATTGTCCTTGAACGGTTTGCTCAGTGACACGTCCAGAGGCTGTAGCAGCAAAATTAGACCCCCCCCCCCCCCCCCCCAGGGATCACGGCGATTTCCATGCGCCGCTCCTTCAGCTCGGTATGGACATGGCCTCGACAGTTGTCCAGCACAAAAAGTGAAAGAAGCAGAAGTGCTCCTGCTCTTTGCCCCCAAACCGTCTTGATCCAATCGACCATGAGGTCTGCCGTCATCTACCCTTTCACTTGAGCACGGATGTGGATGCCGCGGGGAAAGTTTCCGTTTGGAATTGTTTTCCGTTTCAGGATAACATATGGCGGCAGCTTCCACCCGTCTGCCGTCACTGCGAGCATCACGGGGCATCGCTGCATCTCTGCACCACACGTTTCCACGAGAACGCTTCGACCACCTTTTTTGTTCACAGTAGTGCTTCGAGGCATGTCGGACGTCAACGGCGTTTGGTCGGCGTTGCCTATCTGTGACAGCAGGAAGCCGTTTATCTGGCGTATCCTCGTGACAAACCTGTGGAAATTGATCACCTTGTCTTCGTATGCGAATGGAAGTCGCTGGCACAATGACGTCCGCCGCCTCAGCAACAGTTCATTCCGCCGCATGAAGCGTGCCGTCCAGCCGGAACTGGCACGGAAGTCCTTTGTGGGTATTCCCAGCCTCCGGAAAACTGTGCGCGCCTGCGTCCGTATCAAGTCTAACGACACTGCACAACCGTCCTTGCGCATGTCCTTCACGTATTCAAGGACTGCCTTTGCAATGTCACCGAACTTGCCAGATTTGGGTCCACGAAAAGCCCGTCGCATGCTGTTAGTAGCCATGAGCTTGTCGTGCTGTTTTTTCCAATATCAGATCAGGATTTCGTCGACGCCGAAATGTCTACCAGCAGCGAGGTTGCCGTGCTCTATCGCGTAGTCAAGCGCCTTCAGCTTGAACGCAGCAGTAAAGCTTGCATACCGCCCCATGGCGAAACGGCGCTTTGACAGACGATCACAAAGCACACGCACACCACAGCGCACACACACACACAAAAAATACGTGGTCTCAGGAAAAAACAACAACATTGCTGCGGGATGAACACAGGTCGACCAATAGGCGGCCACCGCGGTAACAGTGCGGGATGTCAAAACAAACATGGCGACTGACGGAGCGAAGCGGCCGCATTTTTTTTCTTTTCGTTAGCTATGGAGGTTGTGAGTACGTCATGCGCGTCAAAACAGTTTTTTTATTTAAATAAGGAATGCTTTCATTTAAATAAGTAAATTTACGGCATTAGCGTAGTGATGCCTGCTTTCAGATCACAGAAACAATGATAGGCGCATTCAGCTGCCACAGACATAAAAACACATGGCGGGCATTCAGTGAAAACTGTGGCATTTGCCCTTACTGCAATCCTAAATGGCACGTTTCCACCAACGGTGGGCAAAAATTAAGAATATGTGTGGTGCGTGCAGTTGGCGAGTTTCATTCGGCCGATAATAACGGCGATGATCATCGGCTAGACTTGGCACACGACATATCGATGTGGCAAGTTCAGGGTGCGATCATTACGCGGGAAAAAAAAAAATCGCATTTAGACGACAAAATTTAGGGGTGCGATCATTACGCGAGTGCGATCAATATGCAAGTATATACGGTAGTCAGATTGCCCAACTGCTCAGTAATTTAATAATTAAATATTTCAGAAAACTTTATGTGGACATTTCTAAAAAACAATGAAGGATCACAACTGTACTATGACTGTAATTTTAGTTCTATTTTTATAGAAGTTATTGCCATATATAATGTAATGGTTGGGAACATGAGAATTTTCATCAGATTTATCGGCGCATAAAAATGTTTCTCTTTACGAATGCTAAATTTTAGTAGTCTTGTTGTGTATAGGAACTCATAGGCTTTGAATTGCAACAAGAATTATTGAAACCTGATTACAAGATAGTGTGGGCAACAGTATAGCATCTTGGCAAAAAACTGATTTTGAGAAAACACAGGAAGAAGTTTGAAAACTTGATATAGGTCTAATTTTGCCAAAAAAAAAAAAAAGTAGTACCGTATTTACTCACATAATCCTCCAACTTTTTTTGGCGAAAAACTGATGCTAAGTTAAGGGGTGCGAGAATCACGCGGAGAAAACTTTCTGCGAAAACGTACAGAGCGAAAAAGAAAACGAAGTGGCTGCAAATCGGGATTCTCACACCAGCAACTAACAGCAAGCTTTGAGAAGTACTAATTAAAGCTTACCTCAACAACAAAAGCACAGGTTCTACACAAGGCAAGATTTATTTGAGGCACAAAAAGTGCAAGCAAATAGTCGAGAATTAGAATACCATACGCAAAGCTTGTGGGCATTGTGGGCGTGGCAGTAGCGTTCGTTGCTCAACAGGAGCCCTCAAAAGGTAAGCGTAGGACGTCAGTATTGGGCTGATAACTATTTAACAGAATCGTCTGCAGTTTCCTTCTGAAGGAATAAAGTTTACCATCAATTTCAGTTTTATGCACACGGCAGGCCCAACGCGTCTTGGTTGCTTTCAGCTGCCGTCACCAGTAGCGAACACAAAACTCGTATGCTCCGAAAGGCATACCGGCGGCCCTGTTGCCGTTGCTTAGACCATGATCTATCACTTTCAACTTGAAAGCAGCCATGTAGCTTCAGTATCGCCCAATAACGTGACAAGATTACCGACACAACGTACAAAACACGCCGCAAGGCGCACTTGCCACTTTGGCTTGGCTTGGATTGGATCGAATCTGCATGCAATAATAGTACGCTTCATGCTTAAGAGATGGTGCCAGATGGCGCGCGCTATCATTATCAGCGGCTGGAACAAGCAGACGACATTATTGCGGCAGTTTTCGGGGGTGCGATAATTAATCGAGGAAAAAAAGAAATCGTATTTCTGTTGGGCAATGTGGGGGGTGCGAAAATTATGCGAGTGTGAGGATTACGCGAGCAAGTACGGTAGATGGGAGTCCTTTTTTCTCTAGAAGCCATTAGGCGCATAATCACTATCATTGTCTTTCATACACCTCCTCTTCATGACATTCTTGAAGCCTTCTGCTCTGGTATGCTTGTCACATGTTGCGAACTGCCGCTGGTCCTTTTCCAGACACCTTTCAACATCTGTGTTGCCTCGGTTCAAATGCAGCTTGTTCAAAACAGCCTCGGAGGCCCGGTCACAGAGCAATTGCTTCCGCAACAGCAGTTTCGACAGTGAAGAGCAAAGAGTGTTTGGTTTTCGGCATAAGTGACCAAATCACTGAATGGAGGCTCCCATTTGAATTTTGAGTTTTGCCTCCTTGCCAGTGCTTCAACAGCTTTCGATCTGAGCGGCGAGTGTACACTGGAAGGAAGGCTTCAGCGACATATTCAGGGAGGTTGTACCGCTGCTTGGGAGGAGCCCACTGCCTTGCCACGGCCTTGTTGTGTGCACACCACGAGTCTTGGTGGTGTGTTATCGGTATTCAAAACTAGCATTAACTTATTGTACTATAACTAAGTACGTGCAGAACAAGCCTGCCAAATATCCACTTTTTCAGTATTTCTACAATAACTCTCTTAATCTTGGAGATACTACAATGATCGTGGAGGTTAAGGGGGGACACGTGACACGATAGTGAAATATATCAGTATTAGGCCTAGAGATATGATTTTTTCAGGGAATATTCAGCTTTGTACACTGATTGAAAATATGTAATTACGTTTTCTTTACATAAATCCAAAAAAGTTACAGCTATTCTTATTTTATGAATTTGGGATGTGACTTTCATAAAAAGTAATGCATCAAAAGAGCTATAATTGAACCTATATATTGCTGAGTATTCAAATAGTACAAAT